CTACTTGCATTTTACAGACTGAGATTAGCAATCTTCCACTGCTTTACCAGATTACAGCCTTCCCCACAAAAACATCCACACCCATTTCATGAAAGTTTGATAGTAATCTGATAGTCAAGTGGACAACAGTCCATTTGCTAAGGGAATCTGACCTGTTACCAACAAACACAGACATGAGGAAGAATTTTAACCAAGCGCGTCGAGGCTAGCGATAATATATATAGATTAAGGATATTAAAATAAAGTATAGGATAATATAGTATAGGTTGTGTGTATATATATAAGTGTGTATATATATAAGGATAATATATATAGTGTGTATGCATATAATATTAGTCCTATATCAGGCTTGTCAGATTGAAAAGTACATCTGGAGCAGGACTACTAATGACGCCCCTAGAACACCACAGGGGGACTTTTTCACGCTCGCATAAATCACACCCTTAAGAGGCGGCAATTGATGGAGAGTTCACTCAAAAAAATCACACCCTTAAGAGGCAATGGATGGAGAGCTCACTAAAAATCCACACACCTTAAAAGCAGTTCTGCCATTGTTTTAAGATACGACGAAGGGTGTATGAAAAAGCCTGCATTTCTCGATGGCTACTGAAAAAGGAGTTGGGCTAGAATCAGTTTGAAAAATTATTTTTTTTCTTTCCGGGCCTCTTCTTTGCAAACCCCCCGAAGATTTCGACGCGGGCTGACTTTTTTCATTTTCCAAGGGCTTTTTCTGCCACTTTCCAGTCGGCGACTAATTTTTCGCAGGGCTGTTTCCTCAAATGTACACACAAGCCCACAGTAACTTAATACACAACTCGCAAGGCGCGGGCCGCGCACACACGTCACAACGCACGCACGCACGCAACCTACGCACGCACGCACGCAACGCCACGCACGCTCGCACACAGACAGACACACAGAACACACACACACCCACCAATTTTAGCTAAGCTTGTACAGACAAAAACCAAAGAACATTCAGTCAATATTCAAGACAGTTATTCATCAAGAGCTGACAGACTAACATTGATAATCACAACTGCATCAAGTACAACCACAAAATGCACCTTTGAATAGTGAATACATCACAAGGTTCAGCTAAACACAGAACTATTCGGCTAGCGCAATATAGCTGGAGTGTTGCTAGTAGTAGTACGGCGAGGAAGCGATCGAATGTGATTTATATGCGAAGCTGTCTCTTGCGGGCTTGGGGGTCCAGGGCCCGCGTAAGGCCCGCGAAAGGGGGCCGCATTAGGGGCCCTCGAAGCTCAGGGGGTTTGAGAAAGCGGCTCCGTGGAGGCACGGGTGTATGGCTAGTTACACATCGCACGCTGCGTTTACGTGCTGCTGGACAGGTGGCGGCATTGATTGACATACGGGCGGGGGGGGAGCGCGGGTACTAATCACTACTAAAATGTAGAAGCGTTGCATTGCTGGCACTATGAGAGAGCGACAGCAAAACTCTTCGGGGGAATTGACAAAAAAGCTACATCAGGGAATGACACACGAGTTGGCCGCAAGGGAAAATATGACGCTGTGAATTTCAGTAGGATTTTTTGTTGGGGGAAGGCGATTCCATGGATTACCGTCATCTATAATCCTACGCGATCGTTGGTCCTACGCGGTCTACGTAGGGCACGCCCGCAGGCACACACCCCGCACACACGCACGCACGCACCGCGCAACAGGCACACGGCGCACACGAGTGCACGCGCGCAGGCCACACACGGCAAGCCCACTGCGCCCGCAGGCACACCGGCAACACCAACAGGCACGCACGCACGCACCACGCACGCACGCACGCACCCACGCTAGGCACACACGCAAGCACGCGCACAGGCACACGTTAGTATACCGCTGCGGGCGGTCGGGCGCGTACTCCAGTCAGTGCTCGCGTCCATCCATTGCAACTCTATGGGACAGGCGAAAACTAGCCTCAAGGCCACGCGTGATGCGGCGGGCCTTTTGATGTACAACGACGATCGAGTCGCGTACTAATATATTACCGCACACACACTGCTGCTAGCCGCCTCCAAATAAACGCACACACTGAGCCAACGTCTGACAAATCTCAACAGTGAACTAAGCCGTGGTCTATATTTAAAGCAAACTATATTACAATGGTATTAAATGAACGGTACTTTAGTTAGGCTGTTGGACTGTGAAATGCAAAATTTTTACAATTTCTAACCCGCCCTAAAAATTTTCTGCTCAACGGATTTCAAGACGTTTCACCAAAATCGACGCCTGGGACTTGAAATCCGCGGGCATTTTTCCGCGCATCCGCAGAAGATCTCCACTCCCTGTAAAATTGGAGCGCTATTTCAACATAATACACAGAACTTTTGGTAGCGCGATTTCAAACCACTTTTTATGAGGCGCGAATGTCATGGCGCGCACATTGGCACAATTATGGTGCGCGGATGGAGGCGCGGTGGGATAGCGCGATCGCGGCCCCTATAACAAATGAGAAGGGGCCTGCCTATATTAGTCTTACTCCTGCGCCAACAGAGTAGGCATTTCTTACAGCGAACAAGAACCATTCCTCAACAGGCCCAGGCCACTGTTTGCACGCTTTCAGGCACCTGCGCCACCAGCCTGAGTACAACGCTATGAACATGTGTGACGTTCAAAAGCTTATCATCCTAAGAAAAAGAAGAGGTATGGAAACTACAAGTAAAGTTTAAGTGTGCAGGTGGCATGTCCAACTGCAATTTAGATGCCTAGATTTTGTATCGAGTTGCACGTAATATGATCATCGTAAAATACGGCAAGCAAATGTTTGAATTTTCTCTGTTTTGGAGCTGTCTTACTCCTCCTATATTATCCCTTTACTTCCTGCATCCTATCCTATCACCGCCTGGACAATCATCTCTTATCTTTGACCAGAAATGGCCACGACAACGCCATGACTATCAATGATATCATTCACATACACTTGGAGGTTTTCAATAAAATATACATGCTAAATAAATACGGAAACTATATACTTACCAGTCTTAATTTTTCTATAACTCTTCCTTTCGCCTATTATGGCCAAGAATTCCTGCAAATGCTGCATCTCCAAACAAATGCTGGCTGCTCGCTCACACCGACACATAAATATATAGCAGGTAGGAAACGCGTTCTGCCAAATAATATCGCTCGACTCGCTTGATTTCACACAAATACAACACAAATATTCAAACATTTCTACTCCATCTTTGTTTTCTATTGAAAACAGTGGTTCACTTGTATATAAAAAACATACTGTCTAGTGTTCCGTAAACCAAGCTGTGTCACGCAAACCCACACAATAGCCTGACTAAATTCTCGCTGTTCGCTTCTTGTTGCGCAGTTTATGTAGAATGTGCTGCAAGTACAGCCGTAGGTATAGGCGGCGCACTGCATTTTGGGAAACTACCCACGCTGCTTTCCAACTCCGTTGTGAGGCCCCGTCAAAGCCAGCCGAGGGTCTGGAAGGCTCGCCTAAAAAACGCTGGTGCAGCGCAAAAAATGATCTCACGAAAGCAGCTGCCGTTAAGCCATTTTCCTTGATTCCGACCAGCCATTTACATAAACTGGCAACAGGAAGCGAACGCAGAAGTTTCGTTCAGGACCTTTGTGTGATTTGCATGACCAGCCTCGGGCCGAACAAAAGACAGTATCGTTTTTATCGCAACGTGAACACGTGTTCTTCAAAAGAAAACAAAGATGGAAGTAGAATAATTGAATTATTTGCTGCTGAATTCGTATGAAATAAAGCAAGAGGATAGGAGGCGATTTTGGCACCAGACGCTTATCCTACCTGCTATCATCATTTAGTATTCGAGTGTGCAAGCGGCCAGGCCAGCGTTGTTTGGAGATGAGCATCACTTTGAACGGCATGCAGAAAATTGTCCGCAATAATAGATGCGAAAGAGAGTCATAAAACATTTTAAGACTTTGGTAGTAAATAGCATTGGTAATTATTAGCATTATATATTTTATTGAAACGCCTCCAAGTTGTTTCGCTAAAGGCTAACTACGCGGGCTTTACCCAAGCTAGGTTCACACCCAGCTAGCTATAACCTGACGTTTGTCCCTTACGGACTGATCAGTATAGAAGCTACAAGTAGAAGTACAACACTACGACAAGAGAAGTGCCTGGACTATCAATTAAACTAGTGTATGGAGAAGTTTTCAAACTTAGCCGTTACTTTCCTTCACAACACAAAGCTATTGAAAATTACGCGTATTAGATAATGCGCAAGTTAAAGCATTACTTTACTGTATGAAGTAATACTGACAAACAGGGAGCATAAATTTAAAAGATAGGGCGGATCTCTC